GGGGTGACTGAACGGGGCTCCATGAGGGGGACACCGGGGAGAAGGGGAGAGGAGCCGGGGGACGGAGCCGCGCCGGGAGCGCTCGGCAGCCGCTCGGAGCGCCGGGTTCGGGGGGTTGCGGGATGGGTTTGGGGCTTGCAGGGTGGTTTTGGGGGCCAAAGTGTGGTTTTGGGTGTCAAAAAAGAGCGTTTTGGGAATGAAAGGATGGATTTTGGGGGCTGCAAGATGGTTTTGGGTATTAAAGAGTGATTTGGGGGCTTCAAGATGGGTTTTGGGACTGCAGAACGCTTTTGGGGTTGCAGAATGGTTTTGGGTTGGGGGTTAAGGATGAGTTTGGGGGTTTAAGGATGGGTTTGAGAGTTTAAGGATAGATTTAAGGGTGGGTTTGGGGGTTAAGAATGGGTTTGGGGGTTTAAGGATGGGTTTGGGGACTACAGGATGGTTTTGGGAAGGAGTGGCCTTTGGCAAGGAAAGGGATAAGAGGATGCTCTTGGGACAGCGTGAGGACACCGGGAACGATCCTTGTGCCTCCCTAAATTCCCTGTTCCTACCTAAATTCCCGGGAAATTATCTGTGTTCCTCCCTAATTCCCTGCAGTGCTGTGGGATCAGGGCTGTGGGATCAGGGCTGTGGGATTGGAGCTGTGGGATCAGGACTGTGGGATCAGGACTGTGGGATCAGAGCTGTGGGATCAGGGCTGTGGGATCAGAGCTGTGGGATCAGGGCTGTGGGATCAGAGCTGTGGGATCAGAGCTGTGGGATCAGAGCTGTGGGATCAGGACTGTGGGATCAGAGCTGTGGGATCTGGGCTGTGGGATCAGGGCTGTGGGATTAGAGCTGTGGGATTGGAGATGTTCCCACCTTGGAGCTGCAGGTGCCCAAATCCTGGCCAGGCCAGCGGCTCGTGTCCCAATTCCCAGGGCAGGGACCCCTCCCACCATCCCAGGCTGCTCCCAGCCCTGTCCAGCCTGGCCTTGGACATTCCAGGGATCCAGGGGCTGCTCTGGGAATTCCAGCCCAGCCAGGAATTCCTTCCCCAGATCACATCCATCCCTGCCCTCTGGCAGTGGAAGCCATTTCCTGTGTCCTGTCCCTCCAGGCCTTGTCCCCAGTCCCTCTCCAGCTCTCCTGGAGCCCCTTGAATTCCTGGAATGTGCTGGAAGCTCTCCATCCTCTCTCAGATTTGCTTCCCAGAGATTTCTGAGGAAGTCCCAGAGATTTTTGGGAAGTGCCTGTTGCTCCGCGCTGCCGGAGACATCAGCAAAGCAACGAGGACCTCACAAACCAATCCCTGGGAATTCCATCCCAGTTCCTCCAGGATAACCCAACCCATGCCGTGCCCACCTTTTCCCCACAGTTTTCCTGACTGAATCCCTGACTTTTTTCCCCCCTCTTTCCCAGCTTTCTGGGCTGACCGCACGCCGGTGCACGAGGCCGCCCGGCGCGGGGAGATCCGGCAGCTGCAGCAGCTGATCGAGAGCGGCGCCTGCGTCAACGCCCTCACCTACGACTCCATCACACCCCTGCACGAGGCCAGCCTCAGGGGACAGGCCCAGTGCGTCAAAATGCTCCTGGACGCGGGGGCCCAGGTGTGTTCCCATCCCTGATCCCACTGGGAATTCCCTGGGGTCCCTGCCCAGGGGATCTGGATCGCCCCGGAAGCGCTGGAGGCAAAAATAGGGTGAATGTTCTGGATGGATTTGGTGTGGGTTTGGGTCCTTGCTCTGAGAATCTGGAGAGTGTCCAGGGAAGGGGCTGGAGAATTCCTGAGGGAGCTGGAGAATTCCTGAGGGAGATGGGAAGGGGCTGGAGAATTCCTGAGGGAGATGGGAAGGGGCTCAGCCCGGAGAAAAGGGGGATCAAGGGGAATTTCTGACTCTGCACAACTCCCTGCCAGGAGGGGACAGCCAGGGGGGATTTGGGATCTTATCCCAGGGAACAGGGACAGGAGGAGAGGGAACGGCCTCAGGATGGGCCAGGGAATGTTTGGGTTGGGTTGGGTTGGATTTCAGGGAAAATTCCCGCATGGAAAAGGTTGTGAAGGGTTGGAATGAGCTGCCCAGGGCAGGGGGGAGTCGCCATCCCTGGAGGAATTCCAGAGCCCTGTGGATGTGGCCCCTGGGGACAGGGAAGGGCTGGGAATGGTTGGATTCCATCCTAGAAAGTCTTTTCCAACCAAAACGATTCCCTGGCTCCAGCAATCCCATCCCTGGATCCAGGAATCCCATCCCTGGATCCAGGAATCCCATCCCTGGCTCCAGCAATCCCATCCCTGGATCCAGGAATCCCATCCCTGGCTCCAGCAATCCCATCCCTGGATCCAGGAATCCCATCCCAGCAGGGAAGGAACTGGGATGATCCCATTCCCAGTGGGATTTGTGTGGGAGGCCGAGCCAGGCTCACACCCAGGGGCGATTCCAGCTGGGAATTCCATACTTGGGATCAACTCATTCCCTGATCCCGTTGTGAGCTCAAGCTGTGCCAGGGGATATTTACATTGGAGTGAGAATTCCAGCTGGGAAAAAGGCAGGAAAAGCTGAAATATCCGGAGCAGGGACAGATTCCACATTCCCAGAGAGATTCCATCCCATCCACATTCCCACAGAAACCATTCCTGACCTTTCCCATCCCAAAATCCTAATGGAGCTTTTTCTTATACATTTTTACATGTTTCTATATTTATAATTTATATATTTATATATATTCTTATATATTTTGTATATATTTTTATATTTTTATATATTTTTATATATTTTTATTTTTTTCATGTTTTTGTGTATTTTTATAACTTATATGTTTTTATGTGTTTATATATAATTTATGTATTTTATATATTTATACAAAAAATATTTATATACTTATAATTTATGTGTTTTATATTTTACACCTTTCTATATTTATATATTTTATATTTTTTACTTATAATTTATATAGTTTTATATTTCATACATTTATATGTTCATAATTTCTATCTTTCTATGTTTATATATTTATAAATTTATGTTTTTATATTTTTATATTTATAATTTATATATTTTTATAATTTATGGATTTATATATGCATAGATTTTTATTTATATACATTTTTATATTTATGTATTTCTATATTTATAACATACAATTTCATATTTTTATGCTTATAAAATTAAATGATGTAAGTTACATATATTTATATTTATATATACTTTACATGCATATTTAAATTATATATATTTTATGTATTTATATATTTATATCTATTTTTATATATTAATATATATTAGTATATTTTTATAATATATTAATTACCTCAATGATAACTAATTAATTTTTATTTTTATATATGCAAATTATAACTAATAAATATTTATTTATGAACAAATTATATAACTAATAAATTTTTATTTATTTATAAACAAATTATAACTAATAATTTTTTGGTTTTTTATATACAAGTGTTACAAGAGAATCAAAACAACACAAGAAGCAAAACAATAACAGCAATTTAACAATAATAGTAAAATAATAATAAATTTAAATAAATAGTAATTTAATAATAAATAAAAATAGTAAATTTAATAATAAATTTAAAATAATAGTAAAATAATAATAGAATTAATTCCATCAGTTGTGAAATACATAATATAAATATAAATATAAAGAGCAATATCATTAATAATTAGTAATTTAATAGTAAAATAATAATAGCATTAATTCTAGCAATTCTCTTATATATATAATATAAATATTAATATTAATATCAATATTTACAATAATAGTAATTTAATAGTAAAATAATAGCATTAATTCCATCAGTTGTCTTACGTATTATAAATAGAAATAGAAATAGAAACAAAGCTATCAATATCAATATTGATATCCTTAATAACAATAGTAATTTAATAGTAAAATAATAATAGCATGAATTATATCAGTTGTATATATATAATATAAATATAAGTATAAATATAAGTATAAATATAAGTATAAATGTACGTATCAATATCAATATCAATATTGATATCATTAATAACAATAATAATTTGATAGTAAATAATAATAGCATTGATTCTATCAGTTATCAATATCAATATTGATATCATTAATAACAATAATAATTTGATAGTAAATAATAATAGCATTGATTCTATCAGTTGACTTATATATGTAATATAAATATCAATATTAATATTAATAATAATAGTAATTTAAGAATAAAATAATAGCATGAATTCCATCAGTTGCCATATATAAAATATAAATATAAATATAAATATAAATATAAATATAAATATAAATATAAATATAAATATAAATATAAATATAAATTAGCAATATCACTAATAACAATAGTAATTTAATAGTAAAATGATAATAGCATTAGTTCCGTTGCCCTATATATTAGAAATAGAAATAGAAATAAAGCAATCAATATCAATATTGATATAATTAATAATAATAGTAATTTAATAGTAAAATAATAGTAGCATTAATTCTATCAGTTGCCTTATATATATAATACAAATATCAATATTAACAATAATAGTAATTTAATAGTAAAATAATAGCATGAATTCCATCAGTTGCCATATATATAATATAAATATAATATAAATATAAATAGCACTATCACCAATAACAATAGTAATTTAATAGTAAAATAATAATAGCATGAATTCCATCAGTTGCCTTATATACATAATATAAATCTTAATATCAATATTAACAATAATAGTAATCTAATAGTAAAATAATAATAGCATGAATTATATCAGTTGTTGTATATATATAATATAAATCTAAGTTTAAATATAAATACAAATATAAATACAAATATGAATGTAAATGTAAATATAAATATCATTAATAAAAATAGTAATTTAATATTAAAATAATAATAGCATTAGTTCCATCAGCTGTTGGATATATATATAACATAAATATAAGTAAAAATCATTAGTTCCATCAGCTGTTGGATATATATATAACATAAATATAAGTAAAAATACAAGTGTAAATATGAATATAGATATAAGTATAAAAGTAAATATAAATACCGATATCAAATACCAATATCATTAATAATAATTGTAATTTAATAGTTAAATAACCATAGCATGAATTCTATCGTTTGTCATATATATGTGATATAAATATAAATAGTACCCAAAATATCAATATAGATATCGGTATCAATATCAGTGTCACTATTAATGTTGATATCATTACCAGTATCAATATCGATATCAATATCAATATCAGTATTTATATCAATACCAGTATCAATATCGCTATCAATATCAGTAACTATAGCAATATCAGTTTCAATGTTGATACCAATACCAGTGTCAATATTAATATCTATATCAATATCAGTATCAGTATCAATACTGGTATCAATATTGATATCAATATTGGTAACAGTATCAATACCAATATCAGTATCAATATCGGTATCAATATCAGTATCAATATCAATACCAGTATCAATATCGGTATTAATATCAATATATACCAATATAAATATCAGTATCAATACCAGCATCAATATTGATATCAATACCAATATCAATATCAGTATCAATACCAGTATCAGTATCGATATCAAAATCAATACCAACATAAATATCAATACCAGTATCAATATCAGTATCAATATTGATATCAATACCAATATCAGTATCCAGTATCAATATCAATATTGATATCAATATCGGTATCAATATCAGTATCAATATCAACATCCATATCAGTGTCAATATTCGTACTGATATGTTTATCGGTATCAATACCAGTATTGATATCAGTACCAATATCAATATCAATACCAATACCGATACCAGTATTGATCCTCCCTGCTCAGATGGACGCTCAGAACATCAATGGCAGCACTCCTCTGTGTGACACCTGTGCCTAGAGCAGTGTGGGGTGTTGATATCAGTATCGATATCGATGATATCAATGCTGATATTGATGATATCAATGCTGATATTGATGATATCAATACCAATACCAATACCAATACCAGTATTGATCCTCCCCGCTCAGATGGACGCTCGGAACATTGACGGCAGCACTCCTCTGTGTGACACCTGTGCCTTGGGTAGCGTGGGGTGTCGATATCAGTACTGATATCAATATCAATATTTGTACCAATATCGATATTGATGATATCAGTACCAATACCAGTACCAATATCAATATTGATCCTCTCTGCTCAGGTGGATTCATGGCACATCAACGGCAGCACTCCTCTGTGTGACGCCTGTGCCTCAGGCAGCGTGGGGTGTCGATATCAGTACCAATATTGATATCAGTACCAATATCAGTACCAATATCAATACCAATATCAGTACCAATACAGATATTGATCCTGTCTGTTCAGGTGGACGCTCGGAACACTGACAGCAGCACTCCTCTGTGTGACCACTCGGGCAGTGTGGAGTGTCAATATCAGTACCAATATCGATATTAGTACCAATATCAGTACCAATACCAATATCAATACTGATACCAATACTGATATTGATCCTGTCTGTTCAGGTGGACGCTCGGAACATTGATGGCAGCACTCCTCTGTGTGACACCTGTGCCTCGGGCAGTGTGGGGTGTCGATATCAGTACTGATATTGATATCGATGATATCAATGCTGATATTGATGATTTCAATACCAATATCACTACCAATACCGATATTGATCCCATCTGTTCAGGTGGACGCTCGGAACATTGATGGCAGCACTCCTCTGTGTGTCGCCTGTGCCTCGGGCAGTGTGGGGTGTCAATATCAGTACTGATATTGATATCGATGATATCAATGCTGATATTGATGATATCAATACCAGTATCAATACCAATACCAGTATCAATACCAGTATTGATCCTCTCTGCTCAGGTGGACGCTCGGAACATCGACAGCAGTACTCATCTGTGTGACACCTGTGCCTCAGGCAGTGTGGAGTGTTGATATCAGTACCAATATTGATATCAGTATCATTGCCAATATCAATACCAATGATAGCAATACCAGTACCAATACCAGTATTGATCCTGTCTGTTTGGGTGGATGCTCGGGACGTTGTTGGCAGCACTCCTCTGTGTGACCACTTGGGCAGTGTGGGGTGTTGATATCAGTACTGATAGTGGTATTGATGATATCAATACCAATACCAGTACCAGTAGCAGTATTGATCCTCTCTGTTCAGGTGGACGCTCGGAGCATCGACGGCAGCACTCCTCTGTGTGACGCCTATGCCTCGGGCAGTGTGGGGTGTTGATATCAGTACCAATATCAGTACTGATATCGATATCAAAGATATCAATACCAATACCAATACCGATATTGATCCCGTCTGTTCAGGTGGACGCTCGGAACATTGACGGCAGCACTCCTCTGTGTGACGCCTGTGCCTCGGGCAGTGTGGGGTGTCAATATCGGTACCAATATCAATATCAGTACCAATATCAATATTGATGATATCAGTACCAATACCAATGCCAGTACCGATATTGATCCCTTCTGTTCAGGTGGACGCTCGGAACATTGACGGCAGCACTCCTCTGTGTGACGCCTGTGCCTCGGGCAGCGTGGAGTGCGTGCGGCTGTTGCTGGCGCATGGCGCCAAGGTGAACCCTCCGCTCTACACGGCGTCACCGCTGCACGAGGCCTGCATGAACGGTACGGGCTGGGGAGCGGGATGGACGGGGAGCTTCCCAGTGGGAAAGGGATGGGAAAACTTCCAGGTGGGAAAAGGTTGGGAAAACCTCCCTGGCTGGAAAGGGTTGGGAAAACCTCCCCAGCTGAGCAGGAAAAGGACAGGAAAATCTCCATTTTTCCCTGCAGAGACCCCTCTGATCCCATTCTGATCCCGTTTTTCCCATTTCTGATCCCAGTTTTCCCAGATTTGATCCTGTTTTTCCCTGCAGAGGCCTCTTCCTTTTCCCTGGCTAAATCCACTTTTCCCTGCCTGGAATTACTTTTCCATGGATAAATCCTCTTTTCCCTGGATAAATTTCCTTATCCATGGATAAATCCCCTTTTCCCTGGATAAATTCCCTTTTCCCTGCCTGGATTCCCTCTTCCCCATCTGAATTTCCTTTTCCTTGGATAAATTTCCTTTTTCCTCTCTGGATTCCCTTTTCCCTGCCTGGAATTCCCATTTCCTTGGATAAATCCTCTTTTCCCTGGATAAATTCCCTTTTTCTCTGCCTAGAATTCCTTTTCCCTGCCTAAATCCCTTTTTCCCTGGCTAACCCCCATTTCCTTGCCTGGATCCCCTTTTCCTGGTGGGATTTTCCTGGTGGGATTTTCCCGGCGGGATTTCCCTGGTGGGATCATCTCCACCACCAGCGGGCGATCCCTCGGAATCTTGCTTGGATTCCCTAAGGAACCCTCCGTTCCTCAGGGTGAATTCCCGGCCGGAATTCTCCTGGGGCCCCTCGAGTCCGTTCCCGTTTTCCCATGGGATTTTCCCATTTTTCCGGCCGCAGGGAGCTCGGAGTGCGTGCAGCTCCTCATCGACGTGGGCGCCAACCTGGAGGCTCACGACTGCCACTTCGGGACTCCGCTGCACGTGGCCTGCGCGCGCCAGCACCTGCGCTGCGCCAAGCTGCTGCTGCAGGCGGGTATGTACGGTGTTCCTGGCATTCCCGGTGACCTTCCCGGTGTTCTTGGCATTCCTGGTGTTCCCGGTGTTCCTGGTGCCCTTCCCAGTGTTCCTGGTGTTCCTGGCATTCCCGGTGTTCCCAGTGACCTTCCCGGTGTTCCCAGCATCCCTCTGCCATTCCCAACCTTCCCGGTGTTCCTAGTGCCCTTCCTGGTGTTCCCAGTGTTCCTGGCATTCCTAGTGTTCCTGGTGCCCTTCCCGGTGTTCCCTGTGCCCTTCCCGGCGTTCCTGGTGTTCCCGGTGTTCCCGGTGTTCCCGGCATCCCTCTGCCATTCCCAGCCTTCCTGGTGTTCCTGACGTTACTGGCATTCCCAGCATTCCCAGTATTCCTGGTATTCCTGATATTCCTGGTGTTCCCAGCATTCCCGTCTTTCCTGCCATTCCCAGCATTCCTGGCCGGCATTCCCGGCATTTTTGCCATTCCCAGCATTCCTGGCCTTCCCAGCCTTCATTCCCTGCCGGATCCCTTTCCCCTCAGATGCCTTTCCCCGCCAAATCCCGTTCCTGCCTGGATCCCTTTCCCAGCCCCATCCCCTTTCTCCACTGGATCCCATTTCCCCCCTGGACCCTTTTCCCGCCCAGATCCCGTTTCCCCAGCTGGATCCTGCCTGGATCCCTTTCCCCATCCAGATCCCATTTCCCCCTTGGATCCCTTTCCCTCCCAGATCCCTTTCCCTGCTGGATCCCGTTTCCCCCAGATCTCTTTCCCCACTCAGCCCTTTTCTCCACCAGGTCCCATTTACCCAGCTGGATCCTGCCTGGATCCTTTCCCCCCACCAGATCCCGGATCCCCTGATCCCGGCTCCATGCCCTTTCACCCCCGGATCCCGTTTCCCTCCCAGATCCCGGATCTCCTAATCCTGGCTCCCCTGATCTTGGCTCCATGCCCTTTCCCCCCCGGATCCCCAGATCCCATTTATCCCCTGGATCCCCAGATCCCATTTCCCCCCTGGATCCCAGCTCCCTGAATCCCGAATCCCCATATCCCAGCTCCCCCAGATCCCAGATCCCCATATCCCAGCTCCCCAGATCCCATTTCCTCCTTGCTCCCAGCTCCCCAATCCCGGCTCCATGCCCTTTCCCCCCTGGATCCCGGCTCCCCAGATCCCATTTCCACCCTGGATATCCCCAGATCCCCAGATCCCATTTCCCCCCTGGATCCCCAGATCCCATTTACCCCCCAATCCCCAATCCCGCATCCCCGGATCTCCAGNTGGATCCTGGATCCTGGCTCCCCAGATCCCATTTCCACCCTGGATATCCCCAGATCCCCAGATCCCATTTCCCCCCTGGATCCCGGCTCCCCAGATCCCATTTCCCCCCTGGATCCTGGATCCTGGCTCCCCAGATCCCATTTCCACCCTGGATATCCCCAGATCCCCAGATCCCATTTCCCCCTGGATCCCCAGATCCCGGATCCCCGGATCTCCAGGTGTTTTTCCCGGTTTCAGGAGCGCAGGTGAACGCGGCCAAGCTTCACGAGACAGCGCTGCACCACGCGGCCAAGGCGCGCTGCGCCGCCCTGGTCCGGCTCCTGGTGGAGTTCGGAGCCGACGTCAACGCCCGCGACAACCGTGGCCGGAAACCCTCGGACTACAGCGGGAACGGCGGAGCCGCCGCCCGCTGCTTCCAGTTCTACGAGAGTGAGTGGGGAATTCCCACTTTTCCCGGGAATTCGGGAAGAGACGCGCGTGGAGATGGGGATGTGCTGGTGGCGGGGATTGGAAGGGTTGTCCGATCCCGAGGATTGTCTGATCCCAGGGATTGTCTGATCCCGTGGATTATCCAATCCCAGGGATTGATCCCGAGGATTGTCTGATCCCAGGGATTATCCCGTTTTTCCCCATTTTTCCCTATTCCTGACCCATTTTTCCCATTTTCCCCCGTTTTCCCCATTTCTGACCCATTTCTCTCCTCCTTTCTCCCATTTTTCCCCATTCCTGACCCATTTTTCCCTGTTTTTCCCTGTTCCTGACCTGTTTCTCTCCCGTTTTTCCCCATTGTTTTTCCCCATTTTTCCCATTTCCTGACATTTTTCTCTCCCATTTTTCCCTGTTTCTCCCCATTTTTTCTGACCTGTTTTTCTCCCATTTCTCTCCCGTTTTTCCCCATTGTATTTTCCCTGTTGTTTTTCCCAATGGTTCCTGACATTTTTCTCTCCCATTTTTTCCCATTTTTCCCATTTCCTGACCCGTTTCTCTCCCATTTTTCCCCGTTGTTTTTCCCCATTGTTGTTTTTTCCTGTTTCCTGACCCATTTTTCCCCATTTTCCCCCATTTTTCCCATTTCCTGACCCATTTCTCTCCCGTTTCTCTCCCGTTTTTCCTGACGTGTTTCTCTCCCATTTTTCCAATTTCCTGACCCATTTTTCTGTTTTCCCCATTTCCTGACCTGTTTCTCTCCCATTTTTCCTGACATGTTTCTCTCCCATTTTTCCGTTTCCTGATGTGTTTCTCTCCCGTTTTTCCCTGTTTTCCTGTTTCCTGACCCATTTCTCTCCCGTTTTCCCGTTTCCTGACCTGTTTCTCTCCCGTTTTTCCCTGTTTTTTTTTCCCATTGTTTTCCCCATTTCCTGACGTTTTTCTCTCCCATTTTTCCCATTTCCTGACCCATTTCTCTCCCGTTTCTCTCCCGTTTTTCCTGACGTTTTTCTCTCCCATTTTTCCCATTTCCTGACCCATTTCTCTCCCGTTTGTTTCTCTCCCATTTTTCCTGACGTTTCTCTCCCATTTTCCCATTTCCTGACCCGTTTCTCTCCCGTTTTTCCCGTTTTTCCCATTTCCTGACCCGTTTCTCCCATTTTTCCCATTTCCTGACCCGTTCCTCTCCCGTTTTCCCCCGTTTTTCCTGTTTCCTGACCTGTTTCTCTCCCGTTTTTCCCGTTTTTCCTGTTTTTCCCATTTCCTGACCCGTTTCTCTCCCGTTTTCCCATTTCCTGACCCGTTTCTCTCCTGTTTTTCCCATTTCCTGACCCGTTTCTCTCCCCTTTTTCCCATTTTTCCCATTTCCTGACCCGTTTCTCTCCCATTTTTCCATGTTTTTTTCCCGCAGGAACGCCGCTGTCCCTGGCCCAGCTGTGCCGCCTGGCCGTGCGCCGAGCCGCCGGCCAACGCGGGCAGCACAAAATCTCCAAGCTGCAAATCCCGCCCCGGCTCATCCGCTTCCTCTCCTACGACTGAATCCCAGGAATCCCGGCAATTCCAGAGGATTTCTCCTTCTCTTCTACCTCCCCCACCCCATAAAAAATCCGTGTTAATTTCATTGGAGGCGCTGCTGTGACCGGGATTGCTCAGGAATTCCTCTTTTCCCTCGGAATTTCCCCCGGGTTGGGAATTTCGAGCTCTTCCGGGTGGATTCCCCTTCCCGGATTTTCCCGGATTTCCTCTGTGGGATGCAGCCAGGGGGGAGGGGGGAGGGGTAAATGTGGAGCGGGAATCATTCCAGGCAGGAATTCCGCGCTCCGGAGCCGCTCGGCAGCTCCGATCCCGTTTCGATCCTGATTTTCCCTGCAGAGACCACTCTGATCCCGATTTTCCCATTTTGATCCCGATTTTCCCATTTCTGTTCCCATTTTTCCCATTTCTTATCCCGATTTTCCCATTTTCATCCCATTTTTCCCATTTTCATCCCATTTTTCCCATTTTCATCTAATTTTTCCCATTTCTGATCCCGTTTTTCCCTGCAGGGCCCATCCATCCCCTTCTGGCAGATCCCAGCTGGAATTCCAGGATTTTTGGGAATAACCCGGGACACTTTTCCCAGGAGGGGAAATCCTTGGGATCGGATCCCACCCTCGGGAATAACCCCGGGACAATTCCCTGGAAATCTGGGAATTCCCTATTTCACCATTCCCTGGGGGCTGGAGGCCGCAGCTCGGGAATTTCGTGAATTTTGGGAATTTTTGGGGTTTTTCCAGGAGCATCCAGAGGAATGTTTGTCCCATTCCCAGACCTTTCCCTGATCTCTTGGGATCCAGCAGGAGATCCGGGAATTTCGGGATGGATTTTCCCCCTCTGGAGCTCTTTTCCCAATCCTGGAGCCTCTCCCGGGCTTGGGATTGGAATTCCCGGCTGGAATTCCCGGCTGGAATTTTGTCCTTGGATGTTTGAGCCGGAATTCTCCTCCCCCTTCTGGATTTTCCCTGTTTTTCCCACTAATCCCAGAAAACCACCGAGCTTCCCGACGATCCCTCCAGAACCCCCGGAATCCGCCGGGAACGCGGAGCTGGAGGAGTTTTTATGGGAATTCCTTTTCCCTTGGATCTGTTCCTCCCCTTTCTCATCCTGAAAAATCCCAAATCCTGCTGGTCCCATCCCCCTTTTTGGGATTCCCACAAATCCGGAATTGTGGAAGCTCAGGGAAGCCCCGGAAATGATTTTGGGGTTTTTTATTTTGTGGGATTCATCCCTGGGAATGGCAGGAAAGAGCTTGGGTGGGAGAATTTAGGGATCCCAAATTCCCTTCCTTGGATCCCAAATTCCCTTTCAGGATCCCAAATTCCCTTTAAGAATTCCCATATTCCCTTTTAGGATCCCAAATTCCCTTTCTTGGATCCCAAATCCCATTTTAAGGTCCCAAATTCCCTTTTAGGATCCCAAATTCCCATTTTAGGATCCCAAATCCCATTTTAGGATCCCAAATCCCCTTTCCAGGATCCCAGATTCCCTTTTAGGATCCCAAATTCCTGTTCTTGAATCCCAAATTCCCTTTTTAGGATCCCAAATCCCTTTTTAGGATCCCAAATTTCCTTTCAGGATCCCAAATTCCCTTCTAGGATCCCAAATTCCCTTTCAGGCGTTTTCCCAACCCTCCCGATCCCGGTAAAACAATGGAATTACAAAATCCAAGTTTTCCTTGGAAAAGCAGGAAGAGTCCAACAATAAATTCCCAAATTCCGTGGATTTCGCCTTTGTTTTTCCCGGATTTTTCAGTTTGGGGTTTTTTATTTTCCCTAAAATCCACTTTAGGAATTCCTGGAGATGGGAATGGGGAGAGCCCCGGGCTGGAATTCCAGCCTGGAAAAATGGGAATGGTTGGATTTGGGCTGTGGCCTCTCCTGATCCAGGGATTGCTGGGAATAATTCCATGAATCCCATTCATTCATCCCATTTATTCCATTAATCCCGTTAATACCATTTATGCCATTAATTCCATGAATTCCATTCATTAATTCCGTTTATTTCATTAATTAATTGCATTTATTCCATTTATTAATTCCATGAATTCTCTTTATTCCATCAATCAATTCAATTTATTGTTTCCATTTATTCAATTTATTCCATGAATTCCATTCATTCATTTCATTTATTCCATTAATTCCATATATTCCATTTATTAATTCCATTTATTCCATTTGTTCCATTAATTCATTCAATTAATTAATTCCATTTATTAATTCCATTTATTCCATTTATTAATTCCATTTATTCCATGAATTCCATTCATTAATTCCATGTATTCCATTTATTAATTCCATTAAATCCATTAATTCCATTAATTAATTCAGTTTATTCCATTTATTAATTCCATGTATTCCATTTATTCCATGAATTCCATTCATTAATTCCATGAATTCCATTCATTAATTCCATTAATTCCATTAATTCATTTTATTAATTCCATTAATTAACTTCATGTATTCCATTTATTAATCGATTCCATTTCTCCCATTTATTAATTCAATGAATTCTGTTAATTCCATTAATTAAGTCCATTTATTCCATTAATTAATTCTATTTATTCAGTTTATTAATTCCATTGATTCAATTTATTGATTCCATTTATTAATTCCATGAATTTCATGAATTCCATGAATTCCATTCATTAATTCCATTAATTCCATTAAGTCCATGAATTCCATTTATTAATTCCATTACTTCCATTTATTCCATTAATTCCGTTAATTAATTCCATTAATTAATTAAATTAATTCTATTAATTCTATTTATTAATTCCATTTATTATCTCCATTAATTCCATTAACTCCATGAATTCCCTTAATTAAGTCCATTAATTCTATTTATTAATTCCCTTTGTTAACTCCATTAGTTCAATTTATTAATTCCATTAATTAATTCCATTAATTAATTCCATTAATTAACTCCATTAATTAATTCCATGAATCCCAGAGCCCCCAGATGAGCCGTTCCCGGTTCCTTTGATCCCAGCTGGAATTTCTCGGGATCTTCCCGGGATTTTTGGGAGCTGCTGGATCCCAAACCCTTCCCTGGGGATTTGGGGAATTTTGGGAATTCCGGGAATATTGGGAATAAACTCCGGGATTGAGCCCCTTTATCCCCAAATCCCCCCGGGCCCTTCCCGCTCTTCCCAAATTCCAAACCCCGCTGGAATTCCGGGATAATTCCGGGAGAAAGGAGCTGGATCCCGGCAGCTTTTCCCGCCTTTTTGGGTTTATCCCGGGAAAACGGGCTGGGATCGAAGGGATTCCTTGGGAAGCTGCAAAATTCCGCTCCCGGATTCCCTGGAGGAGACGAATCCCTGCTGGAATTCCCAAATCCCTGGGAAAGGGACAACTCCGAGCAAACCCAGGATTGGAATTCCCGGTTTTTACGAACAATTCAATGAAAAATTCCAGGAGTTTTCCCTCGGATCCTCTAGGATGAGTCCGGGAACAGCCCTGGAATTCTGTCCCACCTCTGGATTTGGGAATGAATCCACCCAAAAGTGGAAAATCCCGAGTTTTCCTTCATCCCTGCGCTCCGTTTTCCCGGAGAACAGGAGATCCCGCAGAGTTTTCCGAGGAGATCCCAAATTTTGGGGTGGATTTGGGGGAGTCTGGAGAAAATCCCTGGGGCAGCAGCTCCCGCTTTTATCCCAAAACGGGAATTTTCCAGCCCAGACCCCCAGGGAAGCACGGGAGGGATCAAATCCCAGACATTCCTTGGGATTTCTGGGAAGCGGGATCAATCCGTCAGCTTTTCCCTCCCCTCCCTGCATCCTGAAAATCCCAAAATTCCCAAAATTCCCAGAATTCCCAGACGTTTCCCTCAGCAGCACCGAGATCGATCCGGAGCCTCGGCAGTGCCCAAAGGGAGATCCCGGGTTTTCCCTGGATCCGGGAAATGTTGGGAAAGGGAAAATCTCTTTCCTGGCGGGAATTTGGGCACCTGGAATTTTGTTCCCGATGAAAACTCGGGAAGGTTTGAGTTTATTCCCGATTAAAAATTCACTCTGGGAAAGTCTCATCCGTGTCCGACTGTTGTTGCTGTGGAATCCTGATCCCGAATTCCAGAGCTGGGAGAGCTGGGAATGTTCTCCTGGAGAAGGGAAGGATCCAGGGAGAGCTTCCAGCACATTCCAGGAGATCAAGGGGATCCAGGAGAGCTGGAATTTGGGAAAGGCCTGGAAGGGCAGGAAATGGCTCCAGATTGGAAAAGGGGAATTGGGGTGGGATTTGGGAATTCCCAGAGCAGCTGTGGCTGCCCCTGGAACCCGGGAATGGCCAAGGAAGGGTTGGAGAAGCCTGGGATGGGGGGATTGGAATGGGATGGGATTGAAGGTCCCTGGATCCCATCCCAAAGCATTCCGGGATTCTGGGATTTGGGAGGCTCCGAATCCATGCCGAGGGATTTTTCTGGGAAATGGGGATGGGAAAGAGAGGGAAAGGGAAGGGAGAGCCTTGGTGGCTTCCTGAGATTGCAAGGGAAGGCCCTGGGTCCATCAATTCCTTGGAGAGGAGATGGATCCAATGTCAGGCTCTGGAGGCAGGCTGGGAGAGCTGGGAATGTTCTCCTGGAGAAGGGAAGGATCCAGGGAGAGCTTCCAGCACATTCCAGGGCCTGGAGGGGCTCCGGGAGAGCTGGAATTTGGGAAAGGCCTGGAGGGGCAGGAGCCAGGGAATGGCTCCAGATTGGAAAAGGGGAATTGGGGTGGGATTTGGGAATTCCCAGAGCAGCTGCAGCCGCCCCAAATCCCGGGAATTTCCAAGGAAGGGTTGGAACAGCCCGGGATGGTGGGATTGTCCCTGCCCATGGAATCGGCCGATCACGAAGGTTCCATTCCCACCCAAACCATTCCGTGATTCCATAAAAAAACCCCACGAGGTCCATCCCCTTCCCAAAACCTTCCCCTCCTCCTTTCCCAGGGAAATCTCGCTAAAAACCGGGAAGAAAAACCGGGATTGGGAATTTCCCAGAGAAATCCTGAGCTCCAAAACGGAGCCTGGGAAAGCTCCAAAGAAACCGGGAGGAAAACCGGGAAAAAACGGGAGAATCCCATTTTTTCCGAAGGAAATCTCCAGCCGATTCCAGCCAGTCCCGATCCCGATGGGGAGGAGCCGCCCGTGGAGGTTTGAGGAGGAATTTTTGGGATGAATTGTGGGAAAATTCCCGAATTCCGCAGGATTTGGATGCGGGAGCCTCTTCCCCCCGCTTGGCGGAGCTGCTCCCCCCTGGAAAAGCTGCCAAAAATCCCCGGGATTTGGGAATTTCCGATCGGCCCCAGCCCCGCTCATCCCGGAGCAACAAATCCTGGGAAAACTTGGAAAAACCGGGAGTTTTTCCGCGGGAATCCTCGGAGCCAGAATTACCCTTTTTATTTTTTATCCCAGCCAAGCTCAATCCAGCTAAATTTTGGGATAATAATTGGGGATTTGGGATTTCTTTTTTTTCCGGCTCCAACCTCCAGACTCCAATTCCCACGGTCTCCAAAAGATTTGGAATTCCGGGATCTGTCTGGAATAAAATTCCCTCTGCTCTCGGCTCAGGGCAGGAGAGTTTTTAAGGAGAAAATCGGGAATTTAGGGAAAGGTTTGGATGGGATGGGGGAGCCCAGGGCAGCTTCTCCATGGATGTGCTGAAAATAGGGAAAAATAGGGGAAAACAGGGAAAAATGGGGAAAACCAGGGAAAAATATAGGTGAGAATAGGGAAAAATAGGGATAAATGGGGAAAAATAGGGAAAAATAAGGAAAAATAGGGAAAACCAAGGAAAAACAGCAGAGAATAGGGGAAAATGGGAGAAAACAGGGAAAAAGAGGGAAAAGTAGGGAAAAATATAGGGGGAAATAGGGAAAATTAGGGGAAAATAAGGAAAAATAAGGAAAAACAGGGAAAATAGGGGAAAATGGAGAAAAATATGGAAAAATGGGGGAAAATTGGGAAAAATATAGGGGGAAATAAGGAAAAACAAGGAAAAGTGGGAAAAATAGGGAAAAATTGAGAAAAATTGGGAAAAATGGGGGAAAATAGGAAAAATAGGGAGAAATAGGGAAAAACGGGGAAAAATAGGGAAAAAAATAGGGAAAACCAGGGAAAAATAGGGAAATAGGGGGAAAAACAGGGAAAAATAAGGAAAAATAGGGAAAAAGATGGGAAAATAGGGAAAAACGAGGGTGGAGGTGCCACAAAACTGTAATTCCTTCTTTTCAGCTGGTTTGTTTTGGGGTTTTTTGGGGGGATTTCTCCTTTCCAGAGCCAATTTGGGATCCGTTTGGACCAAAGAGGGAATTCCAGGCGGGATTTTAATCAAGGGAAAAGTGGGAAGCGCTGGGATCTGAAGTGGGAATGGTGGAGGGAATTGGAATTGTTCATCCTTGGGGTGTTTTAGGGAGCGGCAGCTCCAGGTTTATCCCGAGGGGGGAAAAAAAAAGAGGGAAAAGATTCCCAAAAAGCCGTCGGGAAGGGCCACGGGGCTGAGCTCGCGCTCCTGGGAATTCCCATGTGTTGGAATTCCAGAGGGGCTGGAAAACCGAGCGGCTCCGCTTGTGCTCAACTCCTGCAGGGATTCCCGATTTTTCCAGGAATTCTGGCATGGAAAGGCTGGAATTCCCACTCTTCTTTTAGGAAAAGCTTGGGAGGTCTGGGTGTTGTTTTCCCAAGTTTAAGTTTCCCAGTTTAATTGGAAGTTGTTGGGATGGGATGGGAACATCTCGGATCGCTAAAATTCGAGGGAGAATTTGGGATTGAATCCATGGGATTTTTCCAGATGCTGGGGGGGTTCCTGAGCCGCTTTTTTTTCCCATCAGAATTCCGTTTTAGGGGAAAAGCGGAGTCCAGGGGGGCAGGGCTGGATCCTGGGAGCTGCCGGAGCTCTCGTGGGGTTTTTGGTTGGAAAATCCCTGGAAAAGTGGTGGGAGATGATCCGTGGTGGAGGCACCCGCTGGATCCTGGAGATTTCCCCGTTCTGGGTGATCCCAGCTAAATCCATCCCAGGGATTCCCCATTCCATGGATCCCTCATCTGCCATTCCCTGCGGCCCCATCCCAGATCCCATCCCAGCTGATCCCAGCTCCAGATCCCACTCGGGGTGATCCCAGGTGATCCCTATCCTAAATCCCACACAGGATGATCCTCCAGGACCCGTTCCAGGTTATCCCTACTCTGGATGATCTCCCAGATCCCATTCCAGGTGATCCCTGTCCCAATTCCCACACTGGATGATCTTCTAGGTCCCATTCCAGGTAATCCCTATCCTGGGAGATCCCTGGCCCAGATTCTGCACCAAATGATCCTCCAGGATCCATTCCAGGTTATCCCTACTCTGGCTGATCTCCCAGATCCCATTCCAGGTGATTCCTATCCCAGATCCCACACTGGATGATCCTCCAGGTCAAATCCCAGGTGATTCCTATCCTGGGAGATCCCTGGCCCAGATTCCACACTGGATGATCCCACAGGATCCATCCCAGCTGATCCCTACCCTGAATCCCACACTGGATGATCCTCCAGGATCCATCCCAGGTTTATCCTTACTCTGGATGATCTCCCAGATCCCATCCCAGCTGATCCCTATCCCAGATCCCACACTAGATGATCCCACAGGATCCATTCCAGCTGGAATCCAAATCCCATCCTCCAATCCCCATCCCCAGGTGCAGGGAACATCCTGACCGAGTTTTAGGGTGGAAAATCGGGATGTGGAGGGATCAGGGAGAGACCTGGGATCCTCCAAACTTCCCCTGGAGCTCCATCCATTTAATTAGGAACCAACAGCGGATGGAATTCCATCGGTCATGGATCCTGCAATTCCATCAGATCCTTCTCCTCCAGAGGGACAATTTGGGGATGAAAACCTGGATTTGGGAAGCAAAATCCCAACTTTTTCCAGCGCTGAAAACCACGGGACCATCTCAAGGGATGCTGGGAATCTTCCCAGAGCTCTCCCAAGCACCAAATTCAGGGAAAAACAGGAAAAATGGGGATTAAACTTTCTCCGTTGTTGATGGAGCTGCCGGGCCGGGACCATCGTTAGGAAAAACCATCCCGGGATAAGAGTGGAAAAAACATTCCGGGAATGAAACAACCCGAAAATAGAAGGAGGAAAAAAAAAAGGTCAGGCCTAAAAATACCGGGATAGGTTCGGAGTCAGATCCTGGCATGGAAGAAATAATCCAGGTTTTTGGGAAGGATTAATTTTAGCCATCCCATTACAATAGCTCGGACACTCTGGAATTTTTTCCAGCTGGATTTTTGGTGGATTTGAGGATTTTGGGGCTGGATTTTTCCCAGCTCTCCTCCTGGGAATGTGAGGGAGAAGGTGCTGGGAGCGAGCGTGGGACGTGCTCGGCTCCTCCAGGACACGCCCGGTTTTCCCGGGAAAACAACTGGGATTGCCAAAGTTCCCAGCCCCAGGGATGGGCTGGAAGTGGGGGTGAAGTCGTGGCGGATCCGAAGTTCCCCACGGAGCAGCTCGGCCCCGTTCCCTCGTTAGCGACTTGGCGTTAATTAGATCCATTGAAATGAATTTTTCCTTACAATTCCTCTGTGGAGGGAATGCTCCCATCCCAGGATTGGCCCTCGTTGTGGGGAAACTGAGTCACGACGAGTTTGGGATTACAGCCAGGAAAGGTGAATCCTGCTCTGCTCAGTTTTGGGATGAGGATTAGGGATAAATCCAGCTTTTCTTAGCTTGGAAGAGGGAAAAGCACCCCTGAGATCCTGGGGGCGGAGAGGCAGATCCCAAAAGTGAGGAGATTTGGGATGGGGACGGCCACATCCCGCTCTCCAGCACCTCTCCAGCTTTTTGGGAAAAGGGCAGGAATGGGAAGAGGGTGGGGATGAGGTGAGGTTTGGGCCTGAGCAGGATGATTTGAGGGAATATTTCCCAGCAGGGATCCCAAGGAGAAGCCAAATGAAGAAGCCACCGGGATGTGGGGGGAACGTTTTTTATTGGACTCGGGGATTTCAGGGAATGCCCCCGGAATATCGACACGAGACATCCCATGGGGACCCCAAATCCATCCGTATCCCAGCAGACGCTGGTTGGTGATGCTCCAAATGGGATCAAAGAGGAATTTTCCAACCTGGAGAAGGAGGAAGGGGATGGAGGGGCCGGGGTAGAACCACCACAACCTCTGCTCCCTATGGGGGAAAAAAAAAGAAGGAAAAATTAAAAATAACCCCCCCCCAAAAAAATCACCCCGAACGTGGATTTTTCCACGAGGAGGCCGGGATGGGAGAAAGCCGAGATTTGGGGATTTTCCACGGATTCTGCAGTTACCTGTGGAGCCATCACTTCTCCGTCATCATCCTCACAAACTCCTCGTAGTTGACCTGCCCGTCGTTGTTGCAATCGGCCTCCTTGATCATCTCGTCCACCTCCTCGTCCGTCAGCTTCTCGCCCAGGTTGGTCATGACGTGCCGCAGCTCGGCCGCGCTGATGTAGCCGTTGCCGTCCTTGTCGAAGACCCGGAACGCCTCGCGGATCTCCTCCTCGCTGTCCGTGTCCCTCATCTTCCTCGCCATCAGCGACAGGAACTCCGGGAAATCCACGGTGCCGCTGCCGTCGGCGTCCAGCTCACCCACCATGTCCTGGAGCTCGGCCTCGGTGGGGTTCTGGCCCAGCGAGCGCATGACGGTGCCCAACTCCTTGGTGGTGATGCAGCCATCGCCATCGCGGTCGAAGAGGGAAAAAGCTTCCTTGAATTCCGCGATTTTCTCCTCCGACAGCCGCTCGGCCATGCTGCTTCCCGCCGGCACGCGGCTCTGTCCCGGCACGCCGAGGCCTCGGCGGGGAGGAGGAGATGGAGCCTCCTCCCTTGGAATGCCTCTCCCTGGATCAGCAGGAGGAGGAGCAGGAATGGGAATGATCCGGAAGTTTTGGGAGTTGGGGAAGGAGAGCGAGCCAAGCCCCGTGGGCCAGCCTGGCTCTCGTCCCACCGCTCCCACGGTGGCAGATCCCAATAAAGCTCTCACCACGGGATTCGGGTTGTGGCTCCGTGGCTTCGGTGGGGGTGACCCACCCGCGCTTTTCCCAGTTTTTGGGATATTTTGGATGGGTCTGGAGCTGTAGGAAGGAGGTCAGAGGTCCCTCCCCAGCTCCCAGAGCTGCTGTGGCACATTGGAGGCGCCGAGGGAGGATCCCCCGGTGCAGGCCCCGGCAGATCCCGGCTGCCTGGAGCTGCCGCTCCCGCTCGGAGCTGCCACGGCCCTGAGGCCCCTCCGGGGTTGGATGTGGGTGGTGACGTGGGGCTGGGCCGGGGGAGGGCTCGGGGGTCCTGCCCTGCTCCTCAGGGGGAGCGGAACGTTCTCCCCAGGGTGAGGGTTTACTCATCTCTTAACTCAGGGAATAAAGCAGGGGACATGAACAAATGAGGGGGTGTTTCTCTGTCCAGATGGATCCCATCCATCCACGGATTCCATCCATCCATGGATCCCACCTATCCATCCATCCATCCATGGATCCCATCCATCCATCCATCCATCCATCCATCCATCCATCCATCCATCCATCCATCCCCCATCCATCCATGGATCCCATCCATCCATCCATCCATCCATGGATTCCATCCATCCATGCATCCATGCATCCATGCATCCATGCATCCATCCATCCATCCCAGCGGTCTGGAAGTTCCCCAGCAGGAGATAATTTGACTTTCTCAGCTACAGGAAGTCGGCACCAGTTGATCCCAGTTTAACCCAGTGAGGAATCAGAGCTGGGATTTGGAGGGAAGGGCACAGGCCAGCTGAGGAACGGTGGGATAAATCTGGGAGGGGAAAAATCTCCTGTGGAAAAAGCTCTGGGCGTGCAGAACGCTGCAATTCCCGGGAGGAATTGTGGGAGCCGTGCTGGGAACCTGTCAGGCGAGAGGTGTCGGGGAGAGAGGCCCCAGCAGCTCCTCTTGTGCAAGAGCTGCTCCCTCATTATGTGTCTTGATTGCCCTCATGCGCTGTTTGCTCCAGATTTAATTAGATCCGACCCAAACTGCCGGGAAGAGCCAAGGGGAGGCGGAGACAGCCGGGATCCGCCTGGGAGAAGCCGATCCCGGTGGATCCTGGGGGTTTGGAGGCCTGGGAGGGTCCAGGTGTTGGTTCAAACTGCGGGAGAGGGGTTGGAGCTCACACGGGCGGGAGTGGGGTTCCTGTGGCACCCGGCTGAGGGTGGAACGGTTCTGATTCCAGAGCAGCCCTGGGTGTGGATCAAAGCTGGAATCTGCTGCTTCCTTCCCATGAAATATCTGTGGGATGGGATCTCATCCCATGGATCCCATTCCATGGATCCCATCCCATCCCACAGATCCCATCCCACCCCACAGATCCCATCCCATTCCACAGATCCCATCCCATTTTTACATCCATTTTCTGGATAAGGTCAAAGCCAGCCCTTGATTTTGTCCGTGCCTCGTTTACCGGGATAATTATCCCAATAAAACTTCCCATGATTTATGGGCTAATCCTATTTCCAGCTCTGGGGTGGGCTGCGGGAAGGGGAGACCACCCTGCCGGGATCGGCTTTTTGGCAGCTCAGTTTCCCGGGATGTCTCCACCTGGAGCTGGGCAAGTTTTGCTTTGATGCAGGAGGGCCCCGTTAAAGCCTCACACGGAGTTTTCCAGGCTCCGTGTCTGGTTTGGAGGGGCCTAATCCAGGGAAACGGGGGAGGGGAAAAGATTCCGGCGGTGCGGAAGGTGAAAAGCTTCCAGTGGGATTGTCCCGAGGCGGCCGGGCTGCCAGATGTGCGCAGATGTGTCTGGGTTTGCAGCTGCAGACGCGGCGGGGAGGGGAAAGGGGGGATGAATTCATGGAAAAAGGGAAAGTTGGGAGGCGGAGAGGGAAAAGGCTCCGACAGGGAGAGCTCCGAGGGGCCCCCGTGTCCCTGCAGGAATCTGGGAGAGGCTCTGGGGATGGAGCTCCACAAATCCCGGCAAAAATGACGCTGAGGTTTGGTGTGGAAAATGGGATTTTGGAGAGGATGGGCTCGGGGTTGATCCCAGAACGGCTGCAAGGGTCTCGGGGATTTTGGGAGTGAAATTTGGGATGTTCAGACTTCGCTTCCACGGAGATTCCCAAATCCAAGGGTGAACTGAAGGGCAGCTGGAGCAAAGGGACCCCGATGTCCCCGTGGGGAAGAGGCTGGGATTGGGATGTGGGAATTCCTGGGAGGACTCTGCCCCACGGTGATCCCAGCTCCACCTGGAAACACCGGAGGCGTCGGCTCCGCTCCGGTGCCGGGTGGATCCCGAAGGCAAACACGAACCCAGCTGCCACATCCATGGGCACATTCCCAATCCCTTCCTGGCACAGGGATGGCACCGCAGCTTCCCTCCCCTCTGCCCTTGGGAATTTTATCCCGCTGTAAAACCCCACAGCCGTGGGATGGGGCAGAGGCGCAGCTGGGATCCCATGGAATTCCATGGGAGGAATCCAGGGAAGCACGGCTTGTTTAGTCTGGAGAAGGGAGGGCCGAGACGGCTGCACATTCCAGCAGGAGGGACTGAGCAGGGAGAGGAACCAGCACGAGTCGGGGGGAACGAATTAAAGGGAATTACTTCCAAAGGGAATTAGGGAATTTTGGCCCATTTGCCGTCGGCTGCAGGGTGAGGAGACAAAGATTCAGCCCAGCAGAAAATCCATGGATTTCCTCTCCCTGTGCTCCAGCAGCTCACCGATGCTTTTTTGGCAGGAAGAGCCGTTTTTCCAGCTTCTCCCTGCTTGGGAAGGGCTGAATTCCCTCTGGGCACATCAGAGGGCAGAGCCCATCTGGAAATCCTGTCCCAAAACCGAGCTGCTCCTTCCCTGGAGCCGGGACACCCCATCCAAGGTCAACTTTTTGGGAAAACTGGGAAAAACTGGCTGGGCTTATCCCCATACAACAAATCCCTGGGAATTTCCTTGGGATCAGCCCAGCGGGATCCCCATTCCCAAGGATTTAAGGAGGCAGGTGAGAGGCCATCGGGAATTTAATGGAACTTGGCACTGGAAACTGTACAACATTTACAGAGAACCACACGCTGTGTCTGTGTACACCCTCCGCCATTCCCAAAGTTCCCAGCCGGACACGGCACAGGCAGTGACGATCCCTGGATGTGGAGTCACCGCTCCCAAATCCTGCATTTCGGGATATGGCTCCCCAGTCCTGGATTGCAGGAGACAGGGATTGCAGGATCCCAAATCCTGGATTTCAGGATGTCACTCCCAAATCCTAGATTGCAGGTGACAGGGACAGCAGGATCCCAATCCCAGACTTCAGGTGTCAGGGACTGCAGGATCCCAAATCCCAGATTTCAGGTGACAGGGACTGCAGGATCCCCGATCCCAGATTTCAGGGACTGCAGGATCCTCAATCCCAGATTTCAGGGACACCCCGTTTGTGCTCAGAGCTGTCACCCTTTGCTTCCCACTCGGCTCTGCAGCGCCATTCCCAAGCCGGATCTTTCCCGGGATTTTTCCCGGGATCTTTGGAGCGCTAGAAGATGGCAGTGCTGCCACCCTGAGTGTTTCCAACCACTCCTCCTCCTCCTCTCCTCCTCCTCTCCTCACACTCCAACACTTCCTCTCCTCTACCTTTCTACCACATGCAAGAACCCCTTGGTCGCCTCCAAGTCCTGCTTCCTGTTGGGAAGCGTTTCATTTCCCAAAAGGCGACAAAAACACGGAATCTACCTTCACTCCCTGCTACCCCCTCTACTCACTGCTCCCCAAACCCTTTTACAACGTGCCTACCACCTTCCTACACCCTGGAGTAAAGCAGTTCTCTTTCAGTAGTGTCTCCTCCCAGCCCGTGGATTGCTCCGGGGTGATGTCACCCCTCGGAGCATGAAGGATCAAGTACTGGAAAGGAAATGCCAAGTCTGAGCAACAAAAAAAAAAATACAAAAATAAAAATAAAAATAAAAAAAAACCCCAACCAATCGAAGAAAACAAACAACAACAACAAAAAAACCCAAACCCCCAAATCCCAACCCCCAACGTGGAAATCAAACTAATAAAAAATTAAATAGCTGGCAGGATACAAGAGCGGGACAGAGGAATGTACAAAGGACACACGGAGATCAAAGATTCCAGTAGGTGAACTGAGAACCTGTTGAAGCTGGGGTCTGGTTTTTTGGGATTTTTCCTTTTGGAACACGCAGATTTGAAGGAATTTGAAGGAATAACCACACAGCAGAGTGACTTCAGGGTCCTCTAAAGGACTTTTGCAGTGTTCATCAAAACCCCCGGTGCTGCACAAAATTCCGCTTTATTTCCCATCCTCTACCATGGCCATGGAAAACTTTGGGGAACCCCAATTTGCTCTTCAGCTCTGCCAGGAGGGTTTTGGAAATCCCCTCATGGACTCCAAGAGTAAAACCAGACCCCAGTTCAACAGTAACTGCACACCAGTAGCTGCCATTCCAAGACAAACCCAGGATTTGATCCGTGGAGCGGCCCCGAAGGCGCTCCCGGTACAAAAATGTACACAGAATTATTTATAAATTAACAGTTTTCCCCCAGGGTGGAACCAGGGATCCTTTTTTTTTTTGGTTTGGTTTTTTTTTTCCCTTACACCAGCGTTTCTTTCCGCTTCCCGCTGAGCTGCTTCTCCCTGGATTTTCTGTGCCCGGATGAGGTTCTGTGGGATCTCATCCCTTTGGCTTCCTCCGAGTCCAGGACGGAGCCGCACTCGGCCGTGCTCTCGTCCAGCTCCATCTGGGATATTCCCGAGCGGCGTTTTTGGGCCGGGATGTTGGGCACGGCGGGGTTGTTCTCCTCCGACTCCTCGCTCAGCTCCGGCAGCTCCTGGAGCTCGGGAACGTTCCTCCGGAACGGGGCGATGGCCGTGCGGATGCAGTTCACCCACTGCTGCTTGTGGAAGACGTCGTTGGCCTGCAGCGTGTGAGACTGGCCCGCCGCTGGATCCTGGAAACGGACTCGGAAAATGTTTTTGGCTGGAAAAAAAGGGGAAAAGCGATGAGTTCCAAGCTGATATTCTGATGGTAGGTTTGAAATCCCAACAAAAGCATTCCCAAATCCAGCGGGGAGATAAAGATGGTTTCTAATCCAAACCCCAGCAGTAACTTCACGG